TATAGCAGTAGCTCGGCAACTTGTAAATAGAATGGTTTGGACAGAAGTATTATAAGTGAAATTAATGTGCAATCAATTTTCACCAACAAATGTTTGGGAAATTAGAAGCACTTGCCTTTCAACTCTTAGGATCCATGATCTAGAGTTTATTAAATAGCTTTGAACAAACTTATTTTGGAAGTTTCGTTGATCTTAGTGTGTTTTATTCTTCGCATCTTGATTCTCAGATATGTTAGAGAGAATGATTTCTGCCAACCATCAAAAGATCTCATTCTCCTTCAAAAACATTCCAAAGCAATTTTTTTTACTTAGTTGTTCAGTGGCTTCTAATCTTTCGAAGTGCCTGGTAATAAATTAATCTGGTGGTAAATGTTAATTTTCATGCTATGGATGATACATTTTCATTGTTATTTCATATTAGATTTATTACTATTCAAGTTGAGCCAAAACTGTTACCTTCAAGAGACCTCCATTTATGTTTTAATTTGATCTGATTTAAATCATGCTGCATACACAATTATAGAGTTAAAATGCTGAATCAAACCTACTGACAGTGTGTGATTCATCCATATTCATTACGGTTGAATGGTCACATCACGGATTGAAAATGTGATTTTTGGTTTCAAAAATATATTTTTTCTCTTCAATATTGAATATTCATTTCACATTAGACTCGAACAAGTCTACAACCTCACTGCTTCCTCCATCCTGTAGCACAGGAACTATTTGCCTGTGCCATTCTAACAAAATTCCACTTTAAGGGACAACTGGCTGGTCTGCATTAAATTTGTTTATTAGAGACCTTAAATTGGCTGCCTTTCTACATATGTTAATAGATATACTTTTTGCAGTGTGCTTGATGTTGTATTTTAGCTTGAATTAAGGTGATAAAGCCAACTATTTAAAAGCCATGTAACTTGCTCAAATTGTTCTACAATCTATTGAAGAAAATTAAATTGTTGCCTTAAGATGTTTTTAAAAATGCTGAAATGTTGTGCACATGTAATGGTCTTGAGGTTTTTAATTTTAATAGTTAATTTATTATTTACTGTAGCTGGAATCATGCCTTCAAAAATCAAATAACAACACTACAGGGGCAGGCCAAGAACCGAGCCAATCCTAACCGCAGTGAGGTACAGGCCAATCTTTCGCTCTTCTTAGAGGCAGCTAGTGGCTTCTACACACAGGTGAGTCTAGAAGAAAATTATGGGATTTCACTGGGAGAAGTAAATATTTGGTCTGATCTAGTCTTTAGTGGATCAGTCAGATTACTTGTGTGGTATAATATTAGTAACCTTAATTTGTCTGAGGGCTTACATAAGAGTAAAATTCCCTGGAGTTGTGAAACTGTGAAAACCACAGTAGCAACTGGGTAATGTATATTCTGTACTTCAGGTAATCTAAAGTCTGAATCCCTCCCTGAGATTATGTTAATAATCAGTGATGTGGGGAGATGCTATCCGACTTCAAGGAGTAATGTGGTAGGTGAAATAAAGAAAGAGTTCTTCATAGTAATAGTCACTAATTTTGATTTATGTAGAAATAAACAAGGCTTATAATTGTCACTGGGGAAAAAGCACCGAGCCAACAATTGGGGTTGAAACCTGACAAGTGCCCAGGGCCTGATCTCCTACATCCTCGAGTCTTAAAGGAAGTGGCATCAGAGATAATGGATCCATTCATTATAACATTTCAAAATTTCCTGAATGCTAGAAAAGTTCCAGTAGATTGGCAAGATGCTAATTTAATGCCCTTATTTAAAAAAGGACAGGCAGACAGAAAACTATAAATCAGTTAGCTTAATGTCTATCATTGTGAAGTTGTTAGAATGCGTTATTAAGGAAGTAATAACAGGAATTTTGAAAGACAAAGCATAATCTTAGTCAGCATGGTTTTATGAAGGGTAAATCATATTTGACCAATTTGCTAGAATTCTTTGAAGATGTAAATAACAAAGTGGAAAGTGGGTATTCTGCAGATGTATATCTGGACTTCCAGAAGGCACTTGATAAAGTGTTGCACAAAAGGCTAATATGAGGCAAGATCACATGGGATTTGGTGTAATATATTATCTTGGATAGAGATTTGGCTAACCAACAGAAAGCAGAGAGTCTAGATAAATATCTTTATCTGGTTGGCAAGATGTAATCAATGGGGTGTCGCAGGATTTGATCTTTCATGCCCTAATATTTATAATCTATATTACTGACTTGGATGCAGGAATAGAAGGCACTATGGCCAAATTTGCAGATGACACTAAAACAAGAAAGAAAATAAGTTGTAATGAAGAACAAAAAAATTGCATATATGTATGGATAGGTTAGGTGAATGAGCCAAAATTTGGCAAATGGAATTTAACATGATTAAGTGTGAGGTTTTCCATTTTGGTGTGAAGAATAGAAAGGCAATTTGTATTCTAAATGGGGAGAAACTTCAGAGTGCTTTGGTGCAGAGATATCTGGGTGTCCTTGTGCATGAATTGCAGCAAACTAGTATGCAGGTATAACAGGCAATAAGGAAAACAAATTGAATTTTGACATTTATACTTTATTCTTACAGTGATATAAGTAGGGAAGTGTTGCTGCAGCTGTGCAAGGCATTAGTGAGACTGTACCTGGAGTATTGCATAGAGGTTTGGTCCTCTTAATTGAGGAGGAATATAGTTGTATTGAAGGCAGTTCAGAGGAGATTCACCAGATTGATTCCAGAGATAGAAGGGATTTGTCTTATGAAGAGAGAGCAGTAAAGAAAGAATGAGAGGAGATCTAGTTGAGGTATTTAAGATGTTCAACAGGATTGACAAAGTAGGTGTGGAGCAGATGTTTTCCCCTTCTGGGGCAGCCTACAATGAGATATCTTAGTCTAGGATAAGGGGAACAGATTTCAAATAGACGAGGAGTAATTTCTTCTCTCAAAGGATCACGAAAGGGCCAAGATGAGATCAGCCATGATCGTGTTGAATGGCAAAGTAAGCTCAAGGAGCTGAATTGCCTAGAGCCATACAGCATGGAAACAGACTGTTCAGTCCAACTAATCCATGCCTATGAAGTTTCCCAAACCAAACTAGTCCCCCTTGTCTGTGTTTGGCCCACACCCCTCTAAACTTTTCCCCTTTGTGTACCTATCCAGATGTCTTTTAAATGTTGGAACTGTACCTGCATCTACCAACTCCTCTGGCAGTTCATTCCACATGCAAACCACATTATGGAAAAAGTTGACCATAATGTCCCTTTTAAATCTTTCTCCTCTCTCCTTTAAAAAATATTCCCTGTAGTTTTGAACACCCCTACCCTGGGGAAAAGGCCTTCTGCTTTTTGCATTATCTGTGCCCCTCGTGTTTTTATAAACCTCCTGAGGTCACCCCTCAACCTCCTATGCTCCAGTTGAAAAAGTCCCAGCCTATCCTTAAATCAAACCTCCAATCCTGGTCAGTCTTTTCTGAACCCCCTCCGATTTAATAATATCCTACCTATAGCAGGGCGACCAGAACTATATACAGTACTCCAAAAGTACTCTTCTCCTAGTTATTATGTTCCATAATTAGATTTTTGCACGTTGGGGAATACTTTGAATAAAACTATCCTTTTTTTTGTGTGTGTTTTGGAATTTCTTTTGTTTCAGTTGCTGCAGGAGTTGTGCACAGTCTTCAATGTGGACCTTCCTTGCCGTGTAAAATCGTCACAGCTAGGAATCATCAGCAATAAGCAATGCAGCACCAGTGGGATTGTGAAGCCCCAACCCAGCTCTTGCTCTTATATTTGCCAGCATTGCCTTGTACACCTTGGAGACATAGGTATGTCAATTAGAGTTTGCAGCAACAGTTGACGCTAATTCAGCCGAATTACCTTACTTCCTTCTGTGTAAATTATTACTTTGAATTTCAAACAGGTGCAGTATGTCCATGGAAATAAACCAAAGAACTGTGGATGGTAGAAATCAGAAACAGAAATTGCTGGAAAAATTCAGCAGGTCTGGCAGCATCTGTGCAGAGAAAGCAGAGTTAATGTATCGGGCCCAGTGACCCTTCAGAACTGATTTTAGCTAGAAAAAGTTTGGTATATATGCTAGAGAAAGGGTTGGCAGAGTGGGAAGGAGTGATTGATAGTTGGCGATGGAGCCCAGGGAGAGACAAACAATTGGACAGACAAAGGAATGGGTAAAGGTCAGTCTGGAAGAATGAAAGCTGCTAAAGTGGATCGTTAGTGGCTGAAATGGTAGCAGCCCATGCGATGAGAAGGCCTGGTGTGTGGGGTTGGGGTACGAACATGTGAGAAGGTGCTCATGCCCTACAATTGTTGAACTCTGTGTTGAGTTCTGAAGGGTGTGGCGCTCCAAGCGGAAAATGAGGTGCTATTCTTCCAGGACATGCTGAGCTTCACAGGAGCACTGCAGCAAGCCCGAAACAGATGTTAATTGAAGAACACCTACATTCTGTGAGCAATAATGATCCTGAGCTTCCAGTTACCTGTTATTTTAACACCAATGTGTTCCCTGGCTCAACATTTCTGTTTTAGGCTTGCTGCAGTGCTCCAATGAAACTCAGCGCAAGCTGGAAGAACAGCACCTCCTCTTCTGCATTTTTCCTGCTTGCGAACCCTGTGGCCTTCAGGACTCCATATAGACTTCAATGATTGTAGGGCTTGAGCACCTTCTCCCATGTCCTTACCCAACTCCCACACACCAGGCCTTCTCATCATATGGGCTCCTACCACAAACAACCCGTTGTCAGCCACTAATGGTTTAGCAGCGATTCATTCTCCCGGGGTGACATTTATCCATTTCTTTCCCTGCCCAACTGTTTGTATCTCTCGGTCTCTATCTCTCTCTGGGCTCCATCCTCACCTATTGTTTACTCCTTCCCCCACTCCTCCTTTAGCATGTTTTTCACCTTTTCCCAGCCACAATCCGTCCCAAAGAAGGGTTACTAGACCCGAAATGTTAATTCTGCTTTCTCTCCACAGATGCTGCCAGACCTGCGTTTTTCCAGCAATTTCTGTTTTTGCGGTTTATCCGTGGTTCTGATATGCTTTCTAGGCCATTCACCTCTCATAGGCTTCAGACCACCTGTTAACGTGTAATGTGGTTTGTACATTGTTTTTGATATTTAAAACAGTGCTCATCTAAAAGCTGCATCTTCACAAAGATTATAAATAACTGTTATAGGCCATCCCAACGTTGTGTACAAAAACAAAGCGTTGGAGAAACTTGGCAGGTCTGGCAACATCTAGAGAGAAAACAGTTAACTAATCTAGAGAATCTTAGTCAGAACTGAAAATAGTTGGGAAAGGATGGTATTTAGCTGATGCCTGGTTGAGGTATAATGAATACAGTGCATGGAGGTAGTGCCCAGTGAGAGATGGATAGGCAATCAGATTGCTAATGATAAGCCACGAGAGAAATAAATGCTGGTTGGAGTGCTAGCGAGAAGTAAAAATGGGTTGGCTGTGCTGGGGACAACCATGCAAAATAGGACATCGGGTGTGGGTGTAGGTAACAAAAACCGAGGAACGTGTTGTGTTCTGTAATGGTTAAACTCAGTGTTGAATTCTGAAGGTTGTGAGGTACCCAGGCAGAAGATGACGTGGTGTTCTTTCAGCTTGCATCGAGCCTCACTGGAGCACTGCAGCAGGCCTGAGACAAAGTTGTTGGCATGGAAACGCGATGTGTTGTAGTGGCAGACGACTGGATGCTCAGGGTCATTTTTACAAGCAGAACATAGATGTTTGGCAAAGCAGACACAGTCTGCATTTTGTCTTCGCAATGTAGAGACCATCGTGAGCAGTGAATGGAATAGATTACATTGAATGAGGTGCGGATAGATTGCTGTTTCACCTGAAAGATGTGTCTGTAGCCTTGGATCAGTAAAGAGGGTGGAGTTAAGTAAACAAGTATTGGCACCTTCTGCGATTTGCATGGGAAGGTACCATGGTGGTGCTGCATCCTGGACTACTTCATCTTCATCCCCAGCTTCCACTTCCCCCTCAGCGACAAGTTATAGATCAGCTGTAGAGGGGTCTTCATAGTGGGACTCGAGCAGCTCTTCAACATCCTCAGTCTCCACTTCTTCAAATCCAAGTTGCTTTGCAAGATCAACACAATGTTCTTTGATTCTTGTGATCTCCTATGACCAATCAAAGCCTTTAAAAGCTTGAAAATAAATCTGGGAGAAGCTTCTGTCAAACTGCGTGTAAGCAGTCCTTACTGACATCACCCCAGGCCTCCAAGATAATGTCAATTGCATTCTTGATGTTAAAGCTCTTACAGAATTGAAGAACACTGTCCTTATCCCCTTCAGTGGCTGCAATCAGCCTCTTAAATGTGCTCCTTAAATAATAAATTTTAAAAGCTGCTATTGCACCCTGGTCCATGGGTTGAAGGAGAGATGTTGTGTTTGAGGGTAGAAATAGCACTTTGATGTCTTCAGAAAGCTCATCAGTGGTGGGAGATTGGTTGGCACATGATCCAGGATGAGGAGAATCTTGAAATCCAAATTTATTTTCCTGCAATACCTTCTAAAAACATCTTCCAAAACATCATCAATAAGGTCAGAAAAAAATTGCCATGTCATCCAACCTCTCTCGCCTAGCGTAGACGTAAGGTAACCTTTCAAGGTTCGTGGCTTGGCAGTGTGATATACTACCACAGACTTAAGCTTTAAGTCTCCACTGGCATTGGCACCCAGCAGCACTGTCATATGATCCTTTGTCACCTTAAAGCCTGGAGCCTGTAGTTCATTCATAGAAATGTAGGTTTTTGGTGGTATTCACTTCCAGTATAAACCTGTCTCATCCAAATTGAACATTTGATCTAAGTTGTAGCCTCCTTGTGCTGATAGAATCGCATTATAGCCAACACAAATTCATATTTTAGAAATAGTGTTCCCTGATTCGTCATAGCTCGTTATAGCCAACTTGTATTGCAGGAGCACGTGTTATAGCAGAACCAACTGTATGCTTTTAGCAGCCATGCAAAATATGTAAAAAAAAAAAAAAAACCCTAATGTGTGTGTGAGAAGTCAAACTAACACCTCATGCTGCTGAATGCTTTGTCACAGTAAACTATGACCTGTTAGATTGTGAAAACTTAGTGGATCAAGTCATAGAGTTGTACAGCATGGAAATAGACCCTTCGGTCTAACTCGTCAATACCGACCAAATATCCTAAATTAATCTAGTCCCATTTGCAAGTGTTTGGCCCATATCCTTCTAAACCCTTCCTATTTGTATACACACCCAGATGCCTTTTAAATGTTGTAAGTGCACCAGCCTCCACCGCTTCCTCTGGCAGCTCATTCTGTACATGCACCACCACTGTGTTTTTGAAAAAAAAAAGTTGCCCCTTAGGTCTCTTTTAAATCTTTCCCCTTTCACCTTAAACCTATACCCTCTAGTTTTGGTCTCCGCTAACATGGGGAAAAGACCTTATCTATGCTCTTGATGATTTTATAAACTTCTATAAGGTCATACCTCAGCCTCTGACGTTCTAGGGAAAATAGCCCCAGCCTAATCAGCCTCTCCCTCTCGCTCAAATCCTGCAACCCTGGCAACATCCTTGTAAATCCTTTCCGAACCCTTTCAAGTTTCACAATATCCTTCCTATGGCAGGGAGACCAGAATTGAATGTAGTATTCCAAAAGTGGTCAAATTATTGTCCTGTACAGCTGCAACATGACCTCCCAACTCCTATACTCAATGCACTGACCAATAAAGGTAAGCATACCAAATGCCTTTTTCACTATCCTGTCTACCTGTGACTTTACTTTCAAGGAACAATGAGCCTGGGCTCCAAGGTCTTTGTTTAGCAACACTCCCCAGGACCTTATCATTAAGTGTCTGAGTCCTGCCCTGATTTGCCTTTCCAAAATGCAGTACCTCATATTCATGTAAATTAAACTCCATCTGCCACTCCTCGGCCCACCTGTCCATCTGATTAAGATCCCATTGTACTTTGAGGTAACCTTCTTGGCTGTTCACTATTTCACCAATTTTAGTGTCATCTGCAAATTTACTAACCATACCTCCTATATTCCCATCCAAATCATTTATATAAATGACAAAAAGCAGTGTACCCAGCATCGATCGTTGTGGCACATTGCTGGTCCCAGGCTTCCAGTCTGAAAAACAACCTTCCACCACCACGCTCTGCCTTTTCCCTTCAAGCCAGTTCTGTATCCAAATGGCTAGCTCTCCAAGTAATTCATGTGATTTAACCTGGCTAACCAGTCTACCATGTGGAACCTGGAATGCCATTCTCCTGAGCTCTAGTTTTGAGTCAAAACCAGGATAAACCTTTCTATCTTTTGATTATAAGCCACAAAGTGAACTCAATTTAGCTAGATTCTGGTAGTAGTCTGAATGGCAAAACATCCATATGTCTGCATTAAATTGATGGGGTCTGTCAAGAGCCATGGAATGATTTGATATGACCAATGAAAGAAATCAAAGAAGTATGCATTGATGGAAGTTGTTCCTTGGTAGATTTTAAGGCTCAGGATTATACAGTAAGCAAAAAATGTCAGACAAAAATTAACAAATAGCCCCTTGGACACTCTCATGCATGTCTTATTCATTGCAAGAAGAGACACCTTACCTCCTCGATCCCAGGTATTCTGCTGACAAAGCTGAAAATCGTAGAGTTGCTCTGTGCATAGACATTGCTGTACCTGATTAAAAATACTCGATATTAGCTTTGGGCAGTCAAAGTGGAAAGTATTGCTATCCCATCCTGGCTTTCCTTATTTTAAATGACAAAAATTTCAGTGTGGTCAGTTTTTTAAACAGAAATCATAAATTTGTATCCTACCCATCTTTTTGTTAAGTTGCAGTGGGAACCAAAAATGAGGCAGTTGATAACCTTGCTTTACACTACCCTTGATATTATCTTGGGAGCAAATCTCCTGCATTAAAAATTTAATTTCAGGTGTGAGTGCTAATTCTAATGCAATGATCGGATTTGGTCAACAGAAAAACAAATATGATTGCATGCTTTCACCATAACTTGGCAGTGGATCATTCTGTTTACAATTAACTGCATTGCAATCAATCTGCCAATGCATGTGGATAAAACAATCTTCACTGTTAATGAAGGCATTCCTAACCATTGTTGGATGAGGGATAAAACTGCATAATAATATGCAAATAAAATGAACAAGCAGCTATTGAGATAACCTGCACTTTTTTCAGACAGCTGATTTTTTTTTAAAGATGTAGTTCACTAATTTATCTATGGTTTGACTTGCAGCACGATACAGAAATCAGACTAGCCAGGCTGAGTCCTACTACAGGCATGCAGCTCAACTTGTCCCTTCAAATGGTGAGATCTGTCTCTTTTTATAAATGTTATTGATCCATATCTCATTTTTATATTGTGTTTAAAAAAAATTTGAGATTGTTAGTCATGTACAATACTATAAAAGGAATAATATATCCTATATTCTGAAGAAGGGTCACTGGATCAGTGACGTTAACTCTGATTTCTGTCCACAGACATTGCTAGACCTTTTGATCTCTTCCAGCAATTTCTGTTTTTGTTTCTGATTTCCAGCATCTGCAGTTCTTTCGATTTTTATTTAGGGTCTAATTCACTGCCACATCTCTTCCAGGCATGTCCAACTTGAAGTTCTTCTTTTCTGTCTGACAGGATTTCTGTTTCAATGTATTTTTTCTTGTCGAGCATCATTAATTTCACTGTCATACCTTGTGTTTGACAAGGTATTTGATAAAACTCATTTCCACAGTCACGCTGCATTCCTTAGTAACAAAACACAAGTTGCTGGAAAAGCTCAGCAGGTCTAGCAGCATCTCTGAAGAAAATATCAGAGTTAACATTTCGGGTCCGGTGACCCTTCCTCAGACCCGAAACATTAACTCTGATGTTTTCTTCACAGATGCTGCCAGACCTGCTGAGATTTTCCAGCAATATCTGTTTTTGTTCCTGATTTACAGCATCCGCAGTTCTTTCGGTTTTTATTTTGCATTCCTCACTGACCGACAGTACGACTCCAGCTCAGACTCGCCCCAAGTGGATTTCAACTAAAGCTTCATCCTTCGTGCTTTGAATCTGCCCAGGATCATGGCTATCTCTGTGATGTTCAGTGTTCCACAGACGACTGTTCTCACTGCGTCCTTAGATCCACAATCAGTGCCGTGCATCATCGTATGCGCACTCTCGACCTCTCTCTTCAACAGCACCGCTTCACACTGGCTCAGAGCTGCACTGCTCCCCAGTTGCACTTCATTCTCAGGCTCATTGGAAGCTAACAAGAAACTCTTTTCAGGCATTAAGGAAAACAAGATGCATCAACACAGGTTCCGGATGGCCATGGGTATTTCTATCTCCCATCCCTTCCCTCTGACTCCATCCCCCTCCTGACTGCACTTCCTGCCATGTATTTACTGTCCTTTCTGACATTCTGCTCTCTGATGCTGAACTTTCTGTACTCGGCAACAGTCTCCGTTTTATCTGTGTCCCTACCTTAATGAATTTCAAGCATGACATGATGTTGAACTGTTCCTTCACCTCCTTGCCAATTTCTTTGGACAAGAGTCCTCTTCCTAACCCACAGACTTCTTTGTCCGCCTCCACCTTGACCCCTCCCTCTGGCCTTTTACCTGCACTGGACCTATTCATAGAGAATTGTCGACATGATTGGTCGCCTCAATTTCTCTGCCCCCCTCACCCATTCCAAAGTATCTTCCTGTGAACTGACTGCACTCTGTTTTCGGATCCAACCCTGACTTTGTAATCAGGCCTGCTGTCAAGGCTGGTGCTGTTGTTGTCTGGTGGACTGATGTCAATTTGCAGAGACTGAGTGCCAGCTCTTGGATACCTCCTCCTATCTCCCTTCCACCATAACCCCACCATGGAACGTCAGGCCATCATGTCCACAATCGTCACTAACCTCATTTCATCTGGTGATTTTCCCCTCCCTCCCATCGCCACCAAGCTCATAGTCTCCCCACCCTGTACAGCTTACTTCTACCTCCTTCCCAAAATCCACAGATAGGACTGCCCAGGCAGACCCGTTGTTTCTGCCTGCTTCTGCCTCTCAGACCACCTTTCTTCCTAACTCAACTTGATTTTTTTTCTCTCCTTGTCCAGTCCTTTCCCACTTACATCCATGATACCGCTGTCCTTTATATGTCAGTTTCAGAATTTTTAGTTTGCGGGCTCCAGCTGCCTCCTGATTACTATAGACATGCAATCCCTTTACAGCATGGTCTCTGCTTCTTCTTGGGGGAGAAAGGCCTGAACTGTCCGCATTTACCACCAGCCTCCTCTGCCTGGCTGAATTTGTCTTCACCCTGAACAACAACTCTCAACTCTCAACTCTTAACTCTGCTCACTTTCTTCAAGTCAAAGGTGTTTCCTCGGGTACCGGCTTGGGTATCTGTCTCTTTGTGGAGTACATGAACGTACCTTGTTCCGGTCCTATTCCAGCCCCCACCCACAATTCTTTCTCTACTTTATCAATGATGTCACCAGTGCTGCTTCTCCCTCTCGTCCAGAATTGGCAAAATTTATCAGTTTCGCTTGCACTTTCCACCCCGCTCTCACCTTCACCTGGTCCATCTCTGATTCCTCCATTCCATTCCTTGACATCTCTGTTTCCATTTCTGGGGATAGGCTGGCCACCAATGTCCACTCCAAACCAACCGGTTCCCAAGGTTATGTTGACTACACATCCTCACACCCTGCTTCCTATAAAAACTCTATTCCATTCTTCTAGTTCCTCTGTCTCTGTTGCATCTGTTCTGATGATGCTAACTTCAACAAGAGGGCATTCGCAGTATCCACCTTCTTACTCAACCGAGCATTCCCCAGCATTATAGTTGACAGGATCCTCAGTCGGGTCCGAGCCATCTCCCACACTTCAACCCTCATCCCCTCTTCCTGCCCACCACAGCAACAGGGTCTGTCTTGTCCTCACCTACCGTCCCACCAGCGTCCACATTTCAAAGGATCCTTAGCTGCCATTTCTGCCACTTACCAGCAGGATGCTACCACCAGATACACATTCCCCTCTCCTCCCTTGTCAGCTTTCCACAAGGACTATTCCCTCTGGGATACCTTGGTCCACTCCTCCTGTACTCCCAGCAAACCCCCCCCTACTAAACAGCATTACAAAATGGAAAAGCACAGCCATACTGATATCAAACATTTCCTTTAATTTTTTTTTTTTGGATGCAAGTTTGTGGTGATCTGGTGATTTATATTTTGAAGGCCCAAGATGGATGTATCTTTTGCTTGTGAAAATTTTTTAATTTATTCTACCTACCACCATTCAGGAGACTGACGAGAAACTGTGCATCTAAAGTACACTTGCATTGACTTAAGCTGCAGGAAAAGCATAACAAATCAATGCCACGCGTCTTTACCACCAATTTAAATTTGAATTTTTATCCAATGTGTTCAGGTTCTGGCTGTTGGTATTACTGTTCACTGGCTGATTAGAACCTACTTCCAGCAAGTAGTATGTAAACCTTTTGAAGAAACCACACAAATCCCAGTGACAGCACATAAGGAAATATCACTTGCAAGCAGCTTAAGGTTTCTGTAGTGACAGATCCAACAAGGCACCCATTTTGCTTGGGTGTAAATTTGTCACTAAGTAGTTGAATGCATCCTTTCCTGACAAGGAAAGAGCTTCTTGAAGGGTCATCTTGTTTGTTAACGGAGAACCACACGTATGTAAAAGATTCTGGTGCTTTTTCGGCAAAGGAAGTCCTAGAGTGAGGCAGCTTCTTCGGTTAAGTAGAAATAGTTGTAATCTAACTAAAGTATAACTAAAATGCTTAACTAAAATTTCATAACTAAGATTCATAAATTCAGTCTAATTCTTTGCTATCTGGCAGTTAAAATTGATGTAGAACCTCCATGTCACAGCTTGGGGCCATTAGATGATATGTATTGCATTGCATTTATCATGAATGTTATCTGCATTTCGGACATAGTTGCTTTCTAGAGTTGGGCATTATTACCCCAGCATTGCCTTTGTCTTTTACTTTGGGGGACCTCAGAATCTGTTCTACCTGGTTGTTGTCTTCCCACCAACCCCACCCCCCAGTTGACAACATAAAAACTGAAGAAAAGTCACACTGGACTCAACACAGGTGCTGCCAAACATGTCGAGTTTCCCCAGCACTTTGTCTTTACTTACTGATAATGCCCAAGTAAAAGCAAATCTGAGTCTGTCATAATTAGAGTTGTATAGCAAAATCATCAGTTAGAAGATCAGTATAATCAAACTTTCTTGTAACTTTACAGTATTTCCTTTATCATGAAGTAACTTTTAGAGGTACTGTTTTAGTCAACGAACAAGGCTATTGGTTACTTAACCAAACATAGTGAGAGAGGCAACATTATACCTATAGAATGAGTTGCAAATGAATGCATCCCTGCATACCCCACTGTGATGTGCCACATCCAAATCTATCATAATTGTGTTTTGAAATGTATTTATTCAAGCTCAGTCCATATAAGGAATTCATTCACTTGAACACATCAAAATCTTGTGAATGAATCACGAGAAAAAGAAGTGTTTACGAATATATCTCCATCTTGAGAACCCTTTATACTACTTACTGTTTTGATTTTGGGATCCTCCTCTTTAGCAGAATATATTTTGTTCACAAGGTTCATAGCAAATTCCACCCTTTGTACCCAGATTTGTAAATATAGCCTGTGCCATCAACCTTATGTTAATAGAATGTAGTAAGTATGTGCTATTACATATTTTTTGTACAATCAGATTGAGATACTAAGTCAGGAATCACTAGAAATGTGGTTTAGTTAACACCTTTGAAGACAATAAATTGATGTTTCAGGAGTAGCTTTTGCAACTGACAGTTGTCAAAACAGCTTCAGTTGACAATTAAATAAGAGACCCAATGACAAATGGTGTAAAGGCGTGAGTAACCACTAAGGTTAGGTGGAATGATTCTGAGATGATGATGCAAATAATGCTATTACTGAAATTTCATGAGTGATTCTGAATCTAAACTTGTTAAAAGAACTTCCAGCTAGAGGATTAGAGGTATTAGAAATATTGTTTGATAGACAGTAACCACAATGGGAAATACCCCAAGTGCAAACCCTTGTAGCAAGGTACTACATTTTTAATTATTATGTCACTTTTTCCATTTCAGGGCAGCCATACAATCAGCTGGCCATTCTGGCTTCCTCTAAAGGTGATCATCTTACGACCATTTTCTACTATTGCAGAAGTATAGCTGTCAAATTTCCTTTCCCAGCTGCTTCCACTAATCTACAGAAGGCGCTTTCTAAAGCACTGGAGAGGTGAGCAAAAAAATGCATTAAGGTATCACTGACTTGAAAGAATTGTAGCTGGCAAGTGAATACAGCCTGCCATTTGCTGGACATGACCTTTCCCATTTCATTTATACAGCATTTCAGATTGGAAGTGGCTGACCGTTTAAGTTGTATAGACCTATGTGAACAGGAAATGCAGCTGTGTATTTCTGAACGAGGAGGCCAAAGTTTAACCTTCAGGAGCCAACTTTAAATCCAGATTTTTTTAAAGCATCCAGATGCAAAACTTTACCCAGATATGATCCAGCATCCGATCCACTCTGCTGATTGGAACAGTTTCCTTTTTACAGGTGGCTCAATGACACCTGTTCCTGCTAGCAGGCTCAGTGACGATCACAGATGCCTGGGTGACAAACTACCCTCTGATCCAAGTAGCTATACTATTTAAACCTTACTGCAACTGTATGTAACTGGGGATGCTCTATGTCCAGCATTAGTTAGGATAAAGATGGAACAGGAAGGGGTTTAAGCTTTGAATATTCAAATGTCAAATCAAGAGCAAAATAATTAAGGGAAAAATTAGGTTAAGTGAAGAAAAAGACCGTAGAAATTGTGTAACAGTGAAAACATCTACAATTAAAGTCTGGAAGGATGTGATTCCCTATCTGTAAAAGTTGACTTTCAGTGCCAGAGAGATTGTTTTGCTGTATTTAAGGTTTATCACATTAGTGGTGTTTGGGTTCAACTGATCAAATCCTAAGTTCCTGCAGGGAATTTAGACCCATACCTACAGTGTACGTTCAGGAAGCTGGACACCATTCAAGCTGGCGTTAGACAGCAACTTCCCAGTTTGTGTTTAACTATATATCTGTGCTTCATAGAAATTGATGTCTGATTAGTACATAGATAGCAGTGAGCATTGCTAGCCTCGGATGGTTTCACGTTAAATTCTGGCTCATGGTATAGACTAATAAGATATTTGCATATTATAAATCTCCAGTAAAACCTCAAACGTAATATGTGATATACCTATTTCAAGCCCCCCACCCCCACCTTCAAGGAAGTCTCCTGCCACAGTACAAGTCATTGAGACTAACTGATTAGTTACAGATAAGGAGCAAGATTCAACTTCCCACCCCAGGCTGCAAATTAGAGTATGGTTTCATAGTGTAGATTAGCTGTTGAGTTTTAAATTGTGCTTTATTTTATTATTTATCACAAAGCATGTAGTACTTAAAGCTTTTTTTCCCCTCAGTTTTTAAATTCTAGCAGAAACAATTACTTTGGTGTGGAAGCACGTATAAAAAAAGTTAGAAGCCATTCATTCATTTTGCTCCTCTCTGGATATATTTTTATATAATTCTAATTTATTACTCCTTTGGTTCCTGTGCCATTTTATATCAAGTCATTATCAGAATGTCATTTTAACTGTAACAAATTGATTATTTACCACAATGCCTAAGGTATTCCATGTTTCTGCAACCTCTGCAATTTTTCCCACACTGGTGCAGGAAACTAAAAATATTCCAAACTCAAAATATTTCCATCTGCGGTGCCCCTGTTTTTTCTGGTTCCATTTCTTGTCAGTTTATCCAGCTAAATCATGAATGTATTACATAAATCTCAATATAAACTTCACTTGTTTTCCCATTTTATCCCTGGATAGTTTTCACAGCTTTTCTGGAATATCTGATAATTTCATAGCTCAATGTTCATCAAAAAGCCTTTAATCATTATTTGAAGATTAAAAATATCAAATATATAGAATGACTTCCATCGTGTCCTTCATTGTGCTTGAGATGAAAGTTAGTGTAGCACTTAAATTAAGTATTTGTTTTAATTTGCAAAAGTAGAACTTTGGTTATATTTTAATGTTTGTTTGTCATGGTTTGCTATTTTTGTAGCCGTGATGATATGAAGACAAAGTGGAATGTTTCCGACTTCATAAAGACTTTCATTAAGTTTCATGGTCATGTATATTTGGCCAAAAGTTTAGAGAAATTGTGTACTCTGAGAGAGAAGCTGGAAGACCAGTTCAAGGTAAGAATGTAATGTATTTTAGAACTAGATGCTGTTTTCATGTTCAGGTTCGTACTGCTATAGAACATAGATTGTTCATGAATTTCACTAGTTTGTTGTTGCAGGAGTTTACTGAACAGTACTAGCATTTAAAGGGCATAACGTGGGATTGAATTATATGCGTGAACAATTCTTGCATATGAGAAATACTATTTATTTAAATCGAGTAATAGAATCATGAGAGAGAGTTTGGAAGACCTGATTGTTGGCTGACTGCCAGTATACTTCACACTGCAAAACTGGGTGGTTGCCAGACATTCTTAAAAATTCCCCTGTCCTATTCACTTCTTGTCTTTTTAAAAAAAAAACTTGATGTGCCCTGCCTGAAACAGGTGGCAGCTTGTGGCTGCTGCTTTTGACCCAGCAGCAATTTTATGTCCTATTGCAAACCCATCTATTTGTGTTCACACTTACTGATTCTGGCTAGGACCGATGGAAGAGTTGAGTACTCTTCTGATCTTCCTTGCCTGTCTTCACTAACCCTCAGAATTTGCAAGTTGTTTATGATGCTCCTATCACCATATCCCAGATCAGCATATTGCATATTCCTCCAATGCTAATAGCTCGGCAGCATTTTGCACCTGAAAGTTGACCTCAGGGTTTTTAAGTTGAGCCAACAGTAGAGATTGTACTTTGATTAAAAGCAATCATTTCAAAATGTTGCAGATTGTACTACAATTCAGTCTTTATACACTATAATTCAGCGTTTAGTTTTGCCTCATTCAGTTTTATCCATTGAAAAGAATACAGTGGACTTCTAATGAATTTAAAAAGATGCATTATTGGTCATTTTATTTTGTACCTTTAGATTGGTACACTCCTGGTTTAATATTTCTTAATTAAAATTATGAGTAAGTTTTTGTGAAACGTGTATTTTGTCTATCTTGAGATAATGGTCCCCTGCAAATACTAGCTTAATCATGTTGAATACCTTTGCTTATTTTTTTTCTGGAGTTGTCTCTAGCAACCACAATTCTGATTTAGATTTGACTTTATTTCCAGAGACTTCTTCCTCAGAAGGCATTCAGTTCTCAGCAACTTGTGCACCTTACGGTCATTAATCTGTTTGAGTTGCATCATCTGCGTGATTTCAGTACTGATTCTGATGACCATAGCTATAGTCAAGAAGAACTGTTGTGTTGGACACAGCTCCTGGGTCTCTTCAGTAAGTGATACTTCCTTTGAGAATGAAAATGTTTTGCTTCAGTGAGGTAGTCATGTTTGAACACCTGTTACAAGTTGAGATGCTTATAAGTAAGGAGTATTTTTGCCTCAAAGTCTGAAATTAGATTTGGAATATTTCATAGATCATGATTGATGTCAATATGGAGCACAATTGAAATCAGTTGTTATGGTCTGCAATTTTGAAAATGTTTTACAGTGGTATGGTAAGTTAGTGCGCAAAACTGCTGCTGAATCATATAAACTTCCGACAAAAACCCAGTAAATGCAAAAACAGTTGTCAGAGTTAATATCCAGTGATTATTGACTTTGTCATAACTCTAAATTCGTCTAGGAGGGATTTCAAGGTGTCTCTGGTGTGTACATTTTTGCACCAACTCACCACCTAACACTGCAAAATAACTCAAATGTCTAATGTGAATCAACTAGCTCATTTTCTTTTCAGGAAAGAAAATAGTTAGGCAACACCTAATAAACCGTTTAACCAGAGCTTCAGTGTTTGATGTAATTTATCATGCTATTAGATTCTGCTTATCTCTATAAATCAATCTTTATCTTCCCCCATGTGAAAAGTTCCAGAAATTGCCTTGAAAGGCATCTTGCTGACAGAAGGTTACCTTTGTGTAATTAAAGATGTTGAGTGATACATTTAGTCATTCCACTACAGCAGTCCTAAAAGAGAGAAATTTTGCACTAAGTAATATTTCTTTTATACCCTCTTTCACCCATGTGATGCTTTTTTTTGGGCGAAGCAGGATCATGAAAATGCTTGTCAGACAGTCATGTTGTATTTCAGCCCAAATGTGGTATAGTTCTTTTGTCTTAGATCTTGCTGTACTCAAAGGATGCGAGTTAATTAAGAATACCTAAAGAAAGGAAAGAATATGCAGTTATATAGCTTGTTACTGGAGAGCAATGTCCAAAACACTTTATGGTTAATATACTTATAAAATATAGTCACTGTACAAAGTATTCAAATGCAGTAGCCAATTTGTATAGAGTAAAATTTCTCCAACAGCAGTGAGATAAGAGTGAATGATCCTTTTAGGTTTCCTGTTTGAAGGATGCATATTAGCCAGGAAATCAGGAGAATTGCCCTCACTTATACGTTGCAATAGAATCTTTTTACATGAATGCAAGAGGGCAGATGGGATTTCAGCTTAACACAACACTTTACTTGAAACGTAACTGGAATAGCAACAGTGTCTCAGAACTGCACTGAACGTAAACCTGGAATATACGCTTAAACCTTGTAGAGGTTTAACCCATGACCTTTCTACTCAGATTAGAGTACTGCAACTGAAACAGCTGAAATGAACTTGCCATGCAGGCTGAAATTATAAAACCAACCTTCTCCAGAGTCTTAAACCTTATATACCTGTTTGTTTCTTATTGTCAAGACTCTGCACATGAAGCTAGACTTTCTGGAAAGCTGGCTTACTGAAATATGCAACTAATTTCCTCAACATAACCATAAATAGTTTGGGAAATGGAGAAAATATATTTCATTCTTTGTGTTGTGCATGAAGGTTGTGGTTAGGGAGCATCTGTGCTTTGGTGTATCCACTTGGAGCACTTTACTTTATCATTTCATAAGGAATAGCTTGTGCTTAATACTTGGTTAATTTAAAATATCAGAAGAAATCATATGACAGTTATTAAAAAAATTAACGTTAAATAAAATGCTGTTTTTCCACAATTTTCCAGTGTCCTTTCTTGGAGTCATGTGCAAGTGTGCATTACAGGATGAGAATTTGAAAGAAACCTTGGGTGAATGCCCACTACCTGCTGTTAAAGTTTCGTTAGATTGGCTGAAGCTCAGACCAAATGTCTTTCAGGAAAGTCCATTAGAAGAAAGACAGTAGTAAGTATTTAATTTTTTAGAACAAGTCAAACTTAATATATTTAGATTGTAAATGGGAGTCAGCTAGCTCAGTCGACTGGACAGCTGATTTGCGATGCAGTGATACCAATGCATGGGTTCAATTCGCACACTGGCAGAGGTTACCTTGCCTATGGTGTGGTAGTTAAACTCACCACCAGTTCTTAAAATCAGAATCCTTACAAACAGGAAGGCTACTCAGCCCATTGAATCCACACTGACCGTTCGAACATCATCCCACTTAGACCCAATCCCCTACCCTGTCCTTGTAACCCTGCATTTCCCATGGCTAATCCACCTAGCTTACACATCCCTGGACACTGTGGGCAATTTAACATGTCCAATCCACCTAACCTGCATATCTTTGGACTGGGAGGAAACCTAATCAGACTGGGAGAATGTCTGTGTGGAGTTTGTGCAGTCACCTAAAGCTGGCATTGAATCTGGGTCCCTGGTGCTATGAGGCAGCAGTGCTAACCACTGAGCCATCATCCTGCCCTGGAGAGTTGTCTCTCTCTAAGAGCAGCCCTATATTCCTATAGGACTATGGCAACTACTGTTATTCAGTGGTAAATCTTTTAGGTGACCTGAAGGCTGGACATACATTTTGTTTTCTCCCTTCCTCACTGCTCTGCAATTGTCTGGCATCAGTGCAGCTTTCTTCTAAACATGTTTAAATGTAGTGTCATATTTGATTTGTTGATGGATTGAATGCCTCAGTTTACCTGTCTGCTTCTGTGTTTTAATTTAATTTCTGAAACTATTGGAAGTTTCATCACGTATATTAGAAATTTGATAGTTAACTGTTTGTTTAACTTAGTGATACGCCCCTTCATTGACGATCATTATTTATTTCAACCAATAACATTTACAAGTAAAGCAAAGGTAATTGGTACTGAGTTACTATTCAGCTTTTTCACTTCTTGAACTTGAGTGGGAATTTAAGCTTGTCTTTATTTGAAGTGAGTTTCAAGTCCTGTTCTGAATAGGAGCAGCACAAAGCTGTTCATGTTTCTACATAAACTACTGCAATGCACACTTTTTTGTATATTGTTGTTAAATTATAAGCTCTGAACATTTGTTAGAAAATGAAAGCTTCCACAAGTACAGTGTGGAAGTAGTCTTTTAAAGATGAGTACACGTTTAGGGGAAGTTTTAATTTTTCCTTTGTTCTTGGAATGCGGATGACATCGAGAGGACCAAACTAACGGTCATCCATGTTGATCTGACAATTGGGTATTTTGCTATGTTTTCACTATTGTCGGCCAGTCTGTGTAAGTTCCCATTTCTAAAAGATATTACTGGTCCAGTTTGTCATCTTGAACAACACAACAGCTTTTGCAGTATTTTTGTGTACAAGCCAATGAGTCACAGTTTGCCAATGTGCGAATTGAGCAGTGTAAGGATCTGATACTATAACTGCTATATTGTTGTGCTCTTATTTAGTCTGTGGCACACCTTTGACAGTGAAAAGATGAGAAATAAAAGGGGAATCAAAACATTGGAGAAAGGAGGTAACAGGACCCAGTAATTGGTATACCATTAGACTAAGTGTTGAACAGAAAATAACTCATCTTGTAAGAATTGTAGCTCAATGACTGTGAGGGACTTCAGTCTTCATATAGATTTGGCAAATCGTATTGAGAAAGGTCATCTAAAGGATAAGTTCTGAGAAAGCCTTCAATGTAGTTTCTTGGAACAATCGCCTAGAAATTCCAGTGACCAGATAGTTGATGCAAAAGCATAGACTGGAGTTGCACATTGGGTATGCAGAAATTCAAACTTAGCTGACCTCAGGAATTGCCCAGGAAATTTAAATTCCAATTGGCAATTATCCTGTGACTGGAACAATCCATAAAACCCCAGTAAAGTCAGGGATTTTGAAGGATTCTGGTTCACTTAAACCTCTAACCTTTTCCTGGATAACTACTAAGTTTAAAAACGGTCTGCTTTCTGGGTAACTATTAAACTGAAATCCTGATTATCCACTGAACCAGCCATCTATGTCAGAAGTCAGACAACATCAGGTTATGGTCCAACAGGTTTATTTGAAATCTCAGGCTTTCGAGTGTTGCCCCTTGTCAGATGAAGTGGAAGGAGCAGTGCTATGAAAGCTTGTGATTTTAAATAAATCTATTGGACTATAACCTGGTGTTGTCTGACCTATGACAAGGTTTTTTAAGTCTTGTTTTGTGTTGTCACGTCTCATCGTGTAATAGACTGGTAATCAATCTCCACTATTTGAGTCATGACAAAAGTTAATCATTTTATCAAAGTATGCAAGTCCCCAGTTTACATCTGATCGACCTAAGCCAACAGAAAACATGGACTAGGATTCAGCACATAACAAGAACCACTATTTATTACAAATAAATAGGCTCCAAGTATAGGGAAACAGCTATGAACTGTTGACTTACAACTACTAATTACAGCTCTAACCACCTTCTAAAATCTCTTTTTGCACACATACAGACAGACAGGAAAAAAATTGATATAGGTGGAGGGGAAAAAAATTGGGAGCAGTTCAATGACACTAGTTCATGGGGTTCACTGAGATGAATCCTTTTTGCTTGCCAGGATTTCTGTTCGTCAGTCTCTTTTCTCTGGGGTCTTTTCGCTTCAAGGGAGGTGCAGGTGATTGATACATTAAATGCATGTCTCTGTTACGAGTTAAGGCCAGAATTTACAGCAGCTGGTGAGGGAAAATAAACTTGCTTTCTTCAGGCTTTAGGTATTTTACTGGAGAAAACAGAAAGAGAAGCATTAATCTTACAGCCGCTGTTGGGATTGCAGGCTTAGTTAAAAATTATTATAGTTTTTTAAACAGTTATTACAGTCATTATATTTTGCTGATGTAAGATTTTTATTCATTTTGTTTCATTAACATTAAAAAAAAAACCAAAAAGACAAACACAAAAAATCGTGACTTTTTTTCTGAACAGACTTTTCTTTAAACAAGCTTTTTAAGGGTCTTGCAGTGAGCGGCTGAATTTTCTAAATCTAAATTTAGAAGTTAAACGTCTGTTTTAGAGGGTTTTCTTTACACTGCTAAGGTTTTTTGAAAAACCAAACAGTGTTTTTTCAATAAGGAATTGTGTTTTTGTTTCGGGGAGTCCTACACATGGTCAACTTTGGAGAATTTTTTTTTCCTTTGAGAAATTTATTGAAGAGTCATTTTTTTATGCAGTTAATCAGCTAAGTGGTTGATTTTTATTTAAGTTTTATATGTTAGAAATATGTTTTTAATTTTTTTTCCTTTTTAACATTTTCTGTAGGTAATGAAAGGTACCTTTTATATATAAGGTGTTATTGAAACTTTATTTTAGGCTTAATGTTATTAAGGGCATATGAGCTACAGAGTGAGATAGCTAGTAGATTTAGAAAAGTTATTACACAGGATCAGTCACAAGATGGGTGACTGTTGGGAAAAGTAAGAAGGTAGTTAAAAGACTCTGGTGGCTATTCCTGTATCAAATAGATACTCAAGTTTTTGGAACGGTAGAATAGGGTAGTCTCTCTGGGGGGAAAATGGACAAGCCAGTCAGTTATTGGACACTTGGAATGATTCTTATGTTAGGCAGTGTTACAAGATTTAATAGAATTATTGTTATAGGGCACTCTCCTGTCAGGGGCACAGACAGGAGATTCTGTAGCTGTGAGCATAAATTTAGGGTGGTTTGTTGTTTTCTTGGCGCTAGGCTTAATGAGTTCTCTAAACATTTTTAAACATATGGTTATGGGTGAGATTTGAGAAGCCAGAAATTATTGTACACATTGGTAGGAATGACAGTTTACTGAAAATATTAAAGCAGTGCAGAGTGAGTTTAAAAGGTTAGGTAGAAGATTAAAAAATAGAACCTTAAAAGTTGTAATTTCTGGTTTACTCCCAATGCCAAACAAGTGAAGGAAGACGCTTACCCCATTTCTAAACCCCAGCCCCTGGCAATAAAGACCAAATTCCATTTTCCGCCTTCATTACTTGCAGCATCTTGAATACTGGATTGTTGTGTTTCATGAGCTGTACCACATTGCAACGTGCCCCCTCACCTATTTTTATATCGTCAGCAAATTTGTATCTGTTACACTATATCCCCCCCTCTAAATTGATCATAGTAACTAATTGAGGCTCTAGGATTGGTCCTTGAGACACACTATTACGTCCTCCTAAGTGAGCGGACAACAAAAATGACAGATTGAGAATAATGTGGAAAATATAAGGTCATTTCACTTTTTTGGATAATTAGAAAAATAGACTATTTGCAAATGTAAATAGACTGCAGAATGATATGGCACAAAGGAAACTGGGATCCTTGTGCATGTTCATTTTGTGATTCATGTGGAGACAGCAAGCAGTTAGGAAGGCAAAAGAGTATGTTGGTCTTTATTGCAAAAATACGAAAGTAAGAAAGATTTGCTGCAATTGCACAGGATTTGTTGAATCTGCACCTGGAGTGTTTTGCTCAGTGCTGGTCTCCTTTCCTAAGGAAGAATGTACTTGCTTTGAAAGTATTGCAGCAAAAGTTAAGTAATTTGATTCCTGCAGGGAGGGGGGGCGGGTGGTGTGTGTGTGTGTGCATTGTCATCTGCTGAGAGGCTGAAAAGATTTGGCATGCACTTGCTAGCGCTTGAGAGAGCGATTGGAATATAATGAAAGCTTTTAGGATTCTGAGGGATGGATTGACAGGTAGAAAGTGAGGTTGTTTCCCCTGATTGAAGAGTCCAGGGTGCATGCATACCTCTGTTTTACAAGAAGGGACTAATCATTTAAAATTGAGACGGGAAATCTCTTCACTTGGAAAGTTCTGAATTTTTGGAATTTGATGCCCCAGGGAGCTACAGGGGCTCATTTGTTGAGTATGTTCAGAGTCTAGCTACCTTCTCTTTAAAGGTTGAGATGAATCAATTATTGGACTCCAAGAGAACTGAGGAATAAAGCATGAGGTGTGAAAGTGAAATTGAGGTCTCGCACATCAGCTATTAGTGATAAGCATGGTAGGTTTAAGATGCCACAGGCCATATTCTTGCTCCTAGTACTTGTGTAGAACCTTTAAACTGGGTGGCAAAAACATCCACCATTGGTATGGTGCTACTTAATGTCATGACTATTTCTATCCTTATTCCATTCATAAGATTTTTCCATGGTCGATCTTAAACACACACTTGCCAATCTGGACTGCAGTTGGATGTGCAGCACTCAGAATTCCAATATTGTATCATTAAAGTTTTTTGTTCCTTTTTTCCCTTCAGCATTTGGCCCTGGATTGTATCGTTGCTGAACAGCTTTCATCCACAGGAAGACGATCTTTCTGGATTTAATGGTATGGTTGTTTGCTTAATTAATCAACAATTATTTCTAAACATAAAGGGGACAAAAGGTGTATTGCATAGAGCAGGAGGAACTTTCATTGAAGGATAAGGTATTTTTAATTTAGTATGTCTTCCACAGTTTTTTCTTAATTGAGAAGTCATAACTGTGAAAGCAGGTGTCTAATGCATTATAGTGATTCATGGTTGGGGTGAGCACACCTTGAGGAACCCTTGTGACAATATTGTTCTTCATTCATGCAAACATAAGTGGCGTGATTTTCTTTTAAAGTACTCTCCTTTATTTCACTGTAGGTTATCTTTTCTTTGACAAGATTTTGAGCAAGATGACTGCTGGGCAATGTTGCTCATGATCTCACTGGTCAGAGACACCTTTGAGCTGCTCATTAGGTTTCTTTCCAGATCTGCAGATCATTGTCTCTACAACTTCATGACTCTGGATCTACTTTTTAAAATAATTAATGTTGTAGTAATGTATAGGGACATACTGTCTTTATCCTCTTGCCAAAATGTCGGGAGAAGTTCTGAAGAAATAAAGATCCCAGCTGAAATAACTTTTGGAGGGAATTTGCTAATGTTTCCCCTTGATTGGATACAAAACTAAAGAGAAGCTTATCCATAAGCATGCATGAGCAGTTTGTGATATTCTAAGTATGTGAAAGTTCCAGAACTGATCAATCCAAATGGAATAGTCTTTCCCAAGATCTGTTGTAGGTACTTATTTGTACAGTTGATTTTGACAGCATTCTTTTGTGCATTTCTGAGAAGTACAGTACAGGAGGAGATAAAGTAGGATTTTGGCATTGTTATCCATCCTGTCTTTAAACATAGTTCAGTGAATGAAATTGTAAATAAACCAATTTTTATGAAATTGTCAATGTTTTCAGTTGATTTTTAAAACTAGAATGAACAAAATATTTCTCCGTGTGCCCAGAACAAAAATTGGATGTTCAATTTGTGTAAATGTTTGCTTAATGCTAACTATTTCTCCTTTCTTACCCCCACTCTGATACCTTTCCAGCTACTCCTCTTCCGGAAGAATTTGAATTACAAGGGTTCCTTGCACTCAGACCTTCTCTCAGGTAAGAACAGATCACTTATGTTTAAAGAAAGGGTGAAGTAACATGCATACAATTAGCATTGATTTTTTTAAGAGAAGCCTACTTTGTTGTGACTAGCTTCACAAGAATGTACAGGAAAGGATAAGAACTAAGCCTTTTGGTCTATCAAGACTGTCCCCTCTGGTAAGCAAACTCAGGCAGTCTAAAATCAATAGCATTTTCATACCGTAAATGTAATTCCTCTGATTCTGAGCTAACCCAAATCATTTATTTTTTACAGTACAGAAAGACGTCATTCTACCCATTGCACCTGTGCTGGCTTTCTCAAAGAGTGATCATAGTTCCATTTCTTATTTTTCCTCCATACCATTTTAAGTTTATCAAATATTTATCCACTTTTCCTTTTACTAGCTATATCAATAAAGACAGAAAATTCTGGAAATGCTCAACAATCTTGGCAGGATCTGAGAGGAGGTAACTGAGTTAATACTTCAGACCAGTTGAAAGAGTTTCTGATGAAAGGTTACATATTTGAAATGTTAACTGTTTCTAATCAAATCTGGCAGAATTGTTGAGTATTTCCAAGATTTTCTGTTATTTCAGCTTTCCAGCATCCATCATATTTTGCCTCTGTAAAGATTCTGCTCCCAGTGCATTTTCTGATAAATTGCAAAAAAAAGTTAGATTTGTAAAAGAAAAAGTTATTCTGATCTCTACATCATGGATTCACTGACCATTTCTGTGTACCTAGGAAATATGGATTCCCCTTAATATACAGGTTAATTCATTGTTGAAAATTTTAAAGAAATTAATAAGACAGACATCAGTGACAAAGTTGTCAGCTTTGTGATCTGCATATACTGTTTGAGCTATGTTTTATTAAGCAGTTTTAAGTTCAGGGTGCTTGGAACAGTAATTGCAGGAAATTGAATTAAATAGTGTAAGAATCTTGCGCTCTTCCATTCATTTCAGTAAATGAATACCGCAGAAAATATTTTACAACCGAGACATCTTCTGATTTAACCACTCAGATTCCAGAAAAGACATATTGACTTCATTTCTGACTGTATAACCTCTATCTCAAGTGCCTACTTCTACCTCTGTAGCTTTGCCCACCTTTGTCCGTACATTTGTCCACCTGCCATAGACAGTGTTTCCATGGCTGTTAGCCATTCTGCACCCTCAATAAACTTAAACATTCCTAGCAACATGTTTAAGTCCACTCATTACCTTCACCCATCCTCTCCTGAAGCTCCAGTGATGCAGTCTCACTTCACCAGCTCTCTGTTCTCCTAATTCTCTCAATTTGTGTCACCTGTCTTTCCTATGTTTACACTGTTGATAGCTTGGTAATATATCATCTATCTAATTGATGTTTTAGATGCTTAAACATCACAGTCATAATTCCCTGCTTAAGCTTTGTATCTGTTTCTGTTTTAAGAACTTTTTTAAAACCAATTTCATGACCATATTTTAGATAACCAGTTCTGACATATTTTTCGGCACCTTTATTTGTCCCCAGTTCTCTCAAGACTTTTGTATCTTTCTACTTAAAAGGCATTATATAAATGCAAGTTGTTGTCATGACCTGTTGTCGTAGGCTTTGAAACCATTATGGCTGCTCTTTGTAATCATGAGTTGCCTCACTTGAAACAATGCTTTAACAAAAGTCTCTAAATCTTATCTGTGAAGCCATTTTCTTGAATCATTTCTCTTCTAAACAAAAAAACCAAAAGAACTGCAGATGCTGTAAATCAGGAACAAAAACAGAAGTTGCTGGAAAAGCTCAGCAGGTCTGGCAGCATCTGTGAAGAAAAATTC